CCAAACGTCCCTTCTTTTTTGCAGCTGCGTCTGCAGAATTAACCAGAAGTAAAGGCAGAAAGAAATTTTGGAGGCTGGGGAGATGGGGGCGCGGGCAGAGCATCCCTCCTGCGGAGCATCAATACCCCCAGAGTCGCTTTGGGTAGTTCAGGGAGGCTGTCCGGGGGCATCTTGCTTTCTGGGTGAGGCATCCCTGGGCGCTGGTGGTTGGAAAGCCTGTGGAGCTGATGTCGTGAGGACTTTGGAGGGGGTGCCTCCTTTTAATAGGGGTGAAATGCCTGTAACACCTCTCCTATCGAGAAAGGCTGAGAGAGTTGGGGTTGTTCAGCCTGGAGAAGAGAAGGCTCTGGGGGGACCTTGTTGTGGCTTTTCAATATATAAAGGGGGCTAATGAAGATGGAGCGAGACTTTTTACCAGGGCCTGTAGTGATAGAACAAGGAGTAACCATTTAAACTAGAAGAGAGTAGATTTAGATTATATATAAGGAAGAAATTTTTTATGATGAGGGTGGTGAGGCACTGGCACAGGTTGCCCAGAGAAGCTGTGGATGCCTCATCCCTGGAAGTGTTCAAGGTCAGGTTGGATGGGACTTTGAGCAACCTGATCTAGTTGAAGATGTCCCTGCCCATGGCAGAGGGGGTAGAACTAGATGATCTTTAAAGGCCCCTTCCAACCCAAACTATTCTGTGATTCTATAACCAGAGTCCCCCACCCAGTGTTGTCCCAGAGAAGAGAGTAAGGGCTGCGCCAACAGATGTGGGCTCTGTGCTAACTGCTGCCCCCATGGCTCAGCTGCAAGTGCAGGGATGAGACCCCACCTCTGACGGTCAAGGCCACAAATCAGTAGCCTGCTGCCCATGGGGCTTGGCAGAGCACTGGATCTCGGTCTTACGCATTGCTGCTGTGCTTCACCCTGCAGAAGACACTTCTCCCCTCCCCGCAGGCTTTTCTCATTTTGTATTAACTCTACTTTCTTACTAACATTACCTTGCTTCAAGGTGCCCTGATGCCAGAGCCTTTAAATGGGAAATTCAAGCCGTTGACAGTTTCAAAGGGAGCCCTGTTGAAGCTGCTTGTTATTTCTGTGGGCAATGTCTGAGAAAGGGGAGTATCAGTGGCCTAGAACAGTAAGTAGCCTATTCGAGCTTTGTTTAGAGTAACGTGATCTCTTCAGGGCCTGCAATGTCAGCTTTCGGAGAGTAAGTTCCAGAAGCAGAATGGAAAAGTAGCTGGATTTTTAACTCTTTTTTTTGGTGTTTTTTTTTTAACATTGCTTTCCATGGTATGGCAGTGCTTTTCTAAGTGTAGCTGCTCAATACAAAGCCAACAAATCTTGCAGTGGCGTAGCATATTAAAAATGAAGCCAGCTTTTACCTTCTGTGCAAAGAAAACACAGAAACAAATGAACAAAGACAAGGGTGCTTCCAAGGAGGTCTGAAACCACTACTACAGTACAAATCCTGAGAACCTGTCCCAGATTTAGCAGCTCTTGGGCCATAATTACTATTAATAAGCAGATAAGATGGAAATGCAAAGCATTCAATGAGTCCCTGACCTTCCCCGTATCTTCTTCCAACCCAACACTCAGTTGGGTTCCTTCTCATCTCTAGATACTGTCAAACCAAATCAAGCACCCAGGAGTCTCCAGGATGTTTTGGGTTCCCTGATGCACATGCCTGTCCCACCTGGGGAGAACCAGTTGGTATTAGAGAGCAGGTAGGCGGGCTGGCCCTGCCCCGTGCCACAGCACCAATGGCTTTGGGAGCTGCCCAGTCCTGCTGTATTACACACCGTTCTACATCCTAACGGGGACCTTAGACTTTGCCGAACCCATACAGCTGCAGCCAGTCCTTCATATCAGACAGGAAGCCCCAATCAGTCCTCTTTCCTTAAACATTTTGTCCAAGTAGAGGTGGAAGTGACTTTCTAGGAATCTTGTCCGCTCTGGCATGCGCAAGAGGAACTGTGAGCATTCACACAGCTCTGCAGGTGAAAGTCCAGATGTTATATGCATCTGCCTTCTAGCAGAAGCCTTGGAAGGATCAGCTTGGCCTAAAACATTCCTGGCCAAAGTGGTTTTAATCTGTTATTCAAATCCTCTGATCTCCCAGGCAATCTGCTTCAGAGAAAGTACCTTCTCCACCGGAAGAGTTTTGTAATTTTAATGTTCACCCACAACAGACAGCGAAAACAATTTATTTCCTCTCTCTTTGCAGGCACCTTTTAGGTTATCAGAAGACAGTTTCAAATCTTAGTCTTTTCTTCACTGAATTATATCGATTATGGTCTTTGATCTCTGATTCTTCTTACCCCTCTTTCTTCAGTTGATCTGGAGTTCCTTGAACTGACCCCTAAGGCCTTGGCTGAGTGACTAATGGGAGATTACCTTGGGTATTTGTTCTTATTTCTGAATACGAGAGCAGATATAGGCAAGAGTCCTTTCCTCACATAACATAACATAACATAACATAACATAACATAACATAACATAACATAACATGCAATAACTAGCATACAATTACATACATAACACGATATCGTTGACTTACAGGCAGCTTGTGACACATGATGTGCCCCAGACCCTTTTCAGTAGGTCAGCTGTGTGCCACAATGTTCCCTATCTTGTACTTGCACAGTTTCTTTCTACGTAGTCATTCCTAGCTGTCCATGCTAAATTGCTTTTTCCAGATTGTTTTTCCAGTTTGTCAAGATCACTTGAATTCTAATCTTGCTGTTGATGTTTGTGCAGCCCCTCCCAGGTTGCTGCAATCTGCAAAGGCCTGTCTTGTTCCTGCATGCTTGAACTGTTCCTAATAAGCTTTATTCAATGCTACTGAACCCCACTGCAGCAAGCATGTACTTCAAAGGGGGCAGAGGGGTGCTTTATAAATTAGCACAGAGAACATCAAGGGCTCATTGGTATAAAGTCTGAGATCTCAAGGGCTGGTTCACTAAGGAATGAGCATGGCTTTAGCTCCACTGGGGAGTTTCCCTTTTGTTCATTTTTTCTTGCTCAGGGTTTTGTTTTGTTTTCAGTTCAAGTTGCACTTGTGAGGCAACGTTGTATGAATGTAGCGGAGTTTATTAAGCTTGTATGTGGGGGGAACAGTGAGTCAATATAGGTGCTTATATTTGTGTGTGGCTTCCATAGGAGCTATGTGATAAAGGGAAGGAAGTCATACAGCTCTTACAATTTGGTAATATTACTTAGGCCAGACATTTTGCCTATTGATCCAGGGCCTTATGTGTGCAGTACAGATACAGTTTTGGAGAGGAGAGCTAACCTGACACTCAAGGAAACCCAGATTTAATGGTTTTCCTCTTCACTCAGGCTGTTTTTCTAGATAGTTCAAAAACTATGTCTGGTCTTGCATCCACTTTGTTGATGTGTGATGCCTCTGGCTCAGAGCGTGACACAGACGTCTGTTGGGAGCACTTGTGCCCTTCAGGCTCCATAGATTCAGCTCAGCTCTGACCACCTTCTCTTTTATTCTGCTGAGGCGGATCCAAACGTAACTTACAACTGGCTGGGATGCATCCCCTACAGAGCTGGAGTGAGGGGCTGTGCTTTCCCTGCTTTCTTCTTCTTTGGGAGCATTTAACTTCCCTGCTGGATGGTGAAATGTGGGCTCATCAAATAGAGAAAGCAGAAAAGAAAGAGCTGACGGCAGCTTGGGAAACATATAGGACCTACCAGCATGTACAGCAGCAGCACTGCTGCATGTCCGAGAGGAAGGGTTAAAGTTATAATTTAACGTCACCCTTCAAAGACCCTCTTCCTTTTGCCCATTGTCTTTTAGGTCTGAGTGGTGGCAGTTCAGGTGGAAGAGGCTTTGCAGGTGATGCTGGAGAGATGAGATAGGAGAGAAGGTTCCCCTTCGTTCTTTTGGCAAGAAGTGACTCTGTCAGCCACCTGCTGTCCTTGACGGCACCCAGGGAAGATCTGGGA